GCTGCTACTCTGAAACCAACTAATTTTAAACAGCCCACTGAGCAGCCATGAAATGCTAAATGATTTGATGTCACCACTGATTTGGGCTGAGTTTGGAGTTGTGACAGGTCCTATAGCTCATTAAAAAATCCCAGCTATCTGGCCTGACTTTTTCCAAGTGGCTATCTCCGTAGCCAGACTACCATCCACCATAAATATAAAAGCCAAAAGTGACCACATGCTCAGGACAACCATAAACTTCAGTGACAGAAGCCAGGAGGGAAGCTGGGTGGATTACTCCAACTGCCCTGTTCTGTACATTACCCTGAAGTTCTGGCATTCGCCACTGTCACAGACAGGATACTGGGCTAGATGGACCATTGGTCTGACCCAGTGTGGCCATTCTTATGTTCTTATGACTTTAAAATGAATGAAAAAGTGGGAAAGAACTGAATTTAATCTATCCTGCATGTTTTATGTATACATTATTTACAAATGCAGTATATTAACCCTGTACTATCATGTGACACCAAAAAGTCTTTTAAGGAAAGTACAGAGTGAAGACTATTTGGATGTATATAAACTGTTGTGCTATCCTATGCAATCGGTAAGGAATACAGGTTCCTGTATCTGGACAAAATTCGTGCAGTAGCTTGGATAGGATTAAATACCAGTTGGGTAAGGGTTAATTTAAAAACAGCCAGCACTTTTAAAAATAAAAGTGAGTGATGTTGCAGACACATCATCAGCTTGGACCAAGTGCAGGTATCCAGAGCTCCAGCTAGATAATTGGAATCAGATGGGGTCCCTCCCCACACAAGACCCAAGCATTCTGGTTTCTGTAACAACTTGTTCCCCATGCCTCTCTTCTGATGTCATTCTTGGAGGGCATTGCTTTGGAATGTAGTAGGGACAGTAGCTGGGATAAGGAGGCGTGATGCCTGGAAATAAAGACCGTAAACTTGCTCTCTGGGCTTGGGGGAGATTTTATGTTTGAATCCAGACTCCAAGAAAACAGTTCCTACAGGAACTGAAAGGTGATCACTTTGTCAGGGACACTGAAGGCTCGTCCAGCAGAGTGGAGAGCTGTTGTTGTCATTTGAAGGCTGAGTAGTTTAGGAAAAGAGTATGATGTAGTGGCTAGAATAGGACAGTAGAAATCCAAACTCCTGTGCTCTTTTCCCAGCGCTAGCCCTAATCTACTTTTTGGAAAAATCACTTAAGCCTCCTGGGCTTCAGTTTACTCATCAGTAAAATGGGGGAAGTTATCCGTATGTCACGGGGGGATTGTTAGACTTAATACATGTTTGTAAAGTACTATGAGATTCTCAGAAGGAGGGTTCTATAAACGGGAAGAGAATTGTTGTTATTTTTGTGGCTGAAAATACATTGAGAAGAGGCTTGCTCTCAGTATTTCCATATTAAGTGAGTTGAAATCTGGCAAGCATCATGCAGATTTAAAAGTGAAATAAAGCAAGGGCACGCATTCTGACTTTACAGAACCCGAGTTCCAAAAGATTCTGGCTCTCCTTCAACTCCCCAAGTATACTGCTACTACTGTTGATAGTGTACTAAAAGCCTACACAAGTCATCACTCTCAGATAACATGCGTGGCCAATTATAGACCCTCTTCCTTCTGCATTCATTTCAAAATTATAATAATTTTAAAATATATATTTTGATTAGAATCTTCTTTAACCACAACATACACAACATACCCCCTTGTTACATGGAAATAGTAAGTGAGAAGTTCAAAAATCGTGCAAGCTTAACTATGTCTAGAAATCACATATAAATCCCAATGATGTGCAGTTAGTCCAGATAACCATCATTTTTCACATATATCTAATCTCATTATCTACATAGACCCAATCCTGCAAGCCTTCTGCATAACTCCCACTTGCTTCAATGGGAACACCATACATAAAAGGCTTACAGGATCAGGCCACGTATGTCTTTCATTCTTTAAATATAAACCCATAAAGATATAGTCCGTCTCTCTCACCCTCCCCACCAGCATTCTGTACAAGACTCTGATGACTGCATAGTGTCCAACCACATCATTACAGTACCAGAATTTTGTTTGTGCTACCATATCTAACTGCAATGTCATTCAATACCGACATTTTGGCTCCTTGGTATGAACTGAAGATGAAGAAAGCAAAATAATACAACCGGTAGTAGGTTCACTGGTCCAACAAGGTGGGTGTGACATGAATGAAGAGGCAGGGTCTAAGAAAACAGCACTGGCTGTAATGTAGACAGGAAGGGTAAAGAAGCCAAGCTAAGGAGCAGGTGGTTGTTAGAGGATGTGGAAATATCTTGATGCTTTCCATCTAATACAACAAACCCTTTTCCTAACATGCTCCCCATTACCTGAATCCATTAAACAGCCTTCTTTGTGGAAGACAAGGGTAGTGAGCTGCTAATAACCAACCAGCACTGATAGGTGGAGGCTGTAACCTGACACGCAGTATGCTGAGGCTGTCATATACACACTCTCACGTTCATGTGTATTGCACTCACCAACCCAGACACCCGTGTACACCTCCATGTACAAACACACAAACTTAAACACATACCTAAAGACAAACCTTCATACACAAGTGCACAACACTGTTCCTTAAGGCACACATGCTTACATTAAACACACATACACACACATAGATTTTATCAGCCTGAGTTTGGGATGGGTACCTTACCCAGGAGTAGCAAAGCCACTAGTAAATTATGCTGGTCATCCCAAATGAAAGCCAGTAAAATCTTCGTTCCACACCAGACTATTAGGCACATGCATTCTGCATATGCCATGTGTTTTAAAGAAAAAATATTTTAGGAATGTTAAAGAGTGCTTAACTTTTTTATTGGGACTATTTGTTGTATCCCTCTCTCTATAAAGCCAGACGCTTTAGTTACCACGAATCCAACCATACAGGGCTCAGAGGGAGCTTGTTAAACAAGATCTAAAATGCTGTTTTTATACAGAGAAACATTGTAGCTTTAAAGTTTGATACTTTGTGGCTCTGCAAGGCTAGAAATGAGTGCTGTGCCCCCCATTAGTAAGCTGGGACTCTCCCTTTCACAAAGATAAATAGCTCACATTTCAAGCCCTGTGGGGCTGCAACATTTTTATGTACAGAAAAGCTGTCCCTGGCTCAGGCTGTAATCTAGCCTGTCCTAGGCCTCAGGCTGGAGTACTTTGGGTGGAGGAAGCAGAGAACATTCTTGTGGCACATGGATTTTTTTAAAAAAAGAAGTTGTTAGCAACTGTTCAAGGGGTTGGATGTTGGAATAAATCCTGGGGAAGATAGATTAGTGGGCAGACGGCAGGTAATGCAGTCCTAGGTGAATGATAACTAAATGTATCATGTCTGTGCTATTTATCACATGGAGGGCATGGTATATATTATACCAAAAACACACATTCACATACGCACATATACACACTTGCACAAATACACACACTTGCATACTCATGCACACATACATATGCAGTTACAAACTCGCTTATATACACACACACACACCATAACACAAACATATGCTCACACATACATTCACACACATTCCAGGTGCATAACTGTGAACATATACAAAGCCGTGTACGCATATAAAGCTGCATATGCATTAATGCCCACACAAATTCTCAGACAATCTCATTTACAGTGAGAAACTGATGCAGCAATTTCAGAAAAAACATTACCATTACAATATGTTTCGGCAGCTTGCTTAGCTTCTGCCTTTGGAGCCAGAAGCCAATTTAAATAGGAGCTAGGGAGATAAATTGAATTTCCTGACCTCTTGGTGGAGCAGTTTTCCATGTGGTTTATTTATTTATTTACTTTGAGGATCTCACCTCATTGTGGGCTTGCAGACTCGGGTTTACAGTGAAAGGAGGGGAGAGTGGCAGCAAGTTTACAAGCTCTGAAGGGTTTTTACAAAAAAATACAAGGAAAAATACAAAAATCTAAGGCTCATGTGTTTGCTGAATCTTTAGTATACATCCAGCTGTTCCAAAACAACTGCCTTGCTGCAGTGTCACACAAATAAATTCCATCTCACAGGTACTGGTGATCTGAATGCTGCTTTGTGGTTTATAATGTAATCTGAATGCTCAAGTGGAATTAAAGTTGTGTATACATGGTTATATACCTATTAATGTTATCCCCTGAAGTCTTTCAATAAATGGGGTGAACATACACCTTATAGTGCTAGAAGTATAATGTGACAATGCAAGATATTTTTAATAACTACAAGTTTTGGGTCACCACATCAGTAACAACTTAAAATGGCCCTGAATTTAAACCCTGTCTCTAAATGTCCATAACCTCTGGGATGTTTGAAATTCAGATCTGCATCCTGCATCTGCTCCATCCAGGTATTAGACTAAAACCATAACACCTGAGTGCAACGAAGTGTCCTCTTCCAACAGCAGTTGGGGGGAGGGATAGCTCAGTGGTTTGAGCATTGGCCTGCTAAACCCAGGGTTGTGAGTTCAATCCTTGAGGGGGCCACTTGGGGATCTGGGGCAAAATCAGTACTTGGTCCTGCTAGTGAAGGCAGGGGGCTGGACCTGATGACTTCAAGGTCCCTTCCAGTTCTAGGAGATGGGATATCTCCATTAATTAATTATCTAACACCCTGCACTCCACTGGAAAAAAGAACTTTCACAGTACTGTATCACATCCCTTGCTCTGGAATGGAAACAGTGGAAGCATTATTACCATGAATTGCCAAAAGCTGAGCAAGAAGGGCTACAAATTCAGTCCATCATCTATAATTAAAAGAGCCCCGGAGCATTAGAAAATACACAATAATGAAAATATGAAACCCAGACACACTAGTATGGACACTGCTTAGTCACAAATGCACTTTCCTTAAAAAAAAAGAAGAGAGAGATGATATGCACAACTTCCCACTTTTACTTCTATGTAATCTCTTTCCCTTTGTGCATGTTACAGCGAGAAGGGCGTCATATCCCACCCATGATCCGTGTGCAAAATCACCATTGATACAATTGCAACAAATGGGGTAGACAACGGCCTTGGAATATTCAGATTGAAAAGGAGATTGAAATCCCTCCTACTACAGTGGGAAGTCACGATCCGAGTGACTTCAGAGATTTGGCTCTCACCGACGTGCGATTCCCTCCTAAATTATTTCCTCGCTTGCAGAGGGGAGGGATAACGAAATCAGAAGTGCGGAGATAACACAGATGAAGTCTGTCCTGTCCTTTCGCTCCACCCCCCCCCCACCTTGTCGTGTCCCCCCTCCCAAGTTTCCTTTCCTGCAGCCTTTGCCTGTCTGGCCAGATGCGCACTCGGCCACCTCCGCGGAGCGCAGCTTTCCGCCTCGCAAGCACCAAGCGCACGACTTCCCCGAGAGTCTGCAAGCGGCAGAGACGCGAAGGGCGGCGTTGCGCGGAGTGTCTCGAACAAAGCCAACAGAAGGGTCCTTGTTAGCGGGCTGCTCCCAGGAGGGGGCGAGCGGCGAGGGGAGGGGCGGGGCAGGCAGCTCTCCCGTCCCCAGTCTCCTCCTCTAGCCCGGGGCCCGCCGCCCGCCGCCCGCGGACCCGCTGGTGACTTTGGCTCACTTGAGAACTCTCCTGCGCCGCCCGTCGCGGGCTCGGCCGCTGACTCCGACCCAGCAGCGACTTTCCGAGGGGCCAGGAGTCGCTCCCGCGGCGGCGTGAGGCTCGTGTGCCTGTACTGGGGGGAGGCCAGCTCGCTCCTCCGCCCCCGGGGGCTGCTCTGAAACCGACCCGACCCTCTCGTCCATTGCAGCCTCCCGGCATCCAGCCCTGGTGCCTGCCAGGGGGGGAGAGCCCGGCCGCCGGCTGGGGGAGGCAGCGAGCCCCAGCCTGGCACGGGGAAGCAGCGGCGCTTTTCCCGGAGCAGGCGCTGCGCCGCTGGAGGAGCGAGCGCGGATGGTCCCCTGGCCGGAGCCCGTCCCGCCGGGCAGAGCTCCCCGCGGCCGTCCCCGGGAGGAGCGAGCCGGGTAAGGCAACCGGTCGCGTGCACGGTCCCGGCGCCTCGCCGCCGCTGCTTTTGTTCCTTGGCGGGGCGGGGGGACCCTTCGTGCGCTGATGCCCGCGGCGCGCTCAGCCTCAGCCGGGACCGTGCGCCGGGGAGGCGCCGTCCAGCTGCGCCCTGAGGAGGGCAGGAAACGTGCCCCGAGGAGCGCGGCTGGGCCCCGTGCCCCCCCCTCCAGACACGCCCAAGGGTCGTGAGAAGAGCGAGCACAGGCCGGGCGCTGTGGGCCGGGGAGAGCCGGGCTGCACCGGCTGGGGGCAATCCGGGGGGCGCGCGGCCCCTGGTCTCTGTAAGTCCCGCGGCACTCCGCCTGCTCCTAGCGTTCCCCTAGTGACTAACCAGTACGGCCAGAAGGAAGGGAGAGAACAGAGCCCAAGAGCAAGCTAGACACGGTGGGTCCCTGGGAGCAACTAGCCGGATTTGGGCTTTGCAAAGGCCACGCTGCAAAAAGGAATAAGCTGCATGAAGCAGAAAGAGAAGATAAAAAGCCGTTCAGCCCAAAGCCCAGGCTGCGATTTGGAGGGTCAGGCTCTCCTGCAAAGCCGGGAGCAGTGGTTGCAACCCTCGCCGGGCAGGAGTCATTGCACTGATTGTCCTTCCAACTTTGGGATACAATTCGGGAAAACTTGTGTGTGTGCTGTGCAACGCAGCCTGTTCAGATGGAAGTTTTAGGGAATGATTCATGGACCCTCCTTCCAGAATGTAAATTGCCAGCAGATTTAAAATGAAGCAGCATTGCTGGGAGTGAAAGGCAGTTCAAAGCGCAGGCTAAAACGCGTGTCTTGAATATGCTGGGTCAGCACAGAGCTATGCTAGTTACACCAGCTGAGGATCTGGCCAATTAAGGAAGACCCACACATCCAGGTAGGTGGAAACAAAGAGACCGGTGCTAGGTATGGCTTCTTTTTCCATGACACGAAGAATAGGGAAGTGCAACTATATCAGAAACCCTGCAGTCCGTTTATCTACAGTAGTCCAAAAAAAGGATATTACACAATGGTCAGATGCTTTAGAGAAAGGTGTAAAACCTCCTTAATGCACCACATAGTGTTATACAGGGAGAGGGAGGAGGGATTTCTTCCTGATCCCAGCAGAAAGGTTGGTGATCTTTGTAACTAGGGTAGCTGAAGATGCGATTCCTATTTAATATCGATAGCTAAAACATTGTATGTTCCCCCATAGCTCTTTACTTTCTTCAGTTTTTATCATGGGCTCACCCACCCACCTCTGCCAGTTCACTTCAGTCTTTAGTTGCAGCATCTTTCCTGGCTACTATAGACAGCTTTGACAATCTATCTCACAAATCCACCTCAGGTAGGCCTGACATGCAGCACCTTCCGATAATTCCTGGGCTTCTCATGGGCAGAGAATGTCAGCTGCCCTAAACCCTGTCTTGGTTTTGTAGACAAATGCCCATTCGCGACTTCATTTCACGACTGGAGTTAGCTAGATCTGAATGCAGTTCTTCAGGAGAGAAGATCTTGTTAGCTCAGGAGCCTCCCACACCATGTAGTTCAGGGGTTCTCAAACTGGGGGGGGGTCGCAAGGTTATTACATGGGGGGGTTGCGAGCTGTCAGCCTCCACCCCCAACCCCGCTTTGCCTCCAACATTTATAATAGTGTTATAAATTAAAAACACTTTTTTTTTGTATTTAAGGGGGGTTGCACTCATGAGTTTGCTGTGTGAAAGGGGTCACCAGTACAAAAGTTTGAGAAACACTGATGTAGTTCTTTTGGTTACTTTGTTAAAAATTAAGGACAGACAGTCCAGCTCTAACTGTGAGCTTCTGTCCAAAAAGAGCAAAGTGTCTGGCTCTAGAAAAGGGGATTTACTCATAAGTTTCTTGGAATTGCATCATTTTCCTTGTCAATCCTGTTTTCTTGCTCAGAAGTGTGGAAAATTCTCCTCACTTACTTCTCTTTCTCCCTGGTGCAGACTGGCGCTGAGCACCAGTCCATGTCTGAAAGTTCCATCCAGAGAGTTCTGATGCAGAGTTGGCATTGGCAGGTCCACCGCAAATCTTGCTAATTCCTCCATTTTAGACTTCAGCCACAGGGATCGGAAGCACTGACTCCTGTTGACTTAGCTGATTGCTGTAGCCAAACTCCGAGATGGAGAAACACATAGGTGTATTCTTCTGTCAGAGCACGTGAGGCTTTCTGTGGATAATTCCTGTTAATATTCCGAGGTCTTATCCACATAAATCCCTCATTCATCAGTGGGAGAATAGATCCCTATATGTATAAACCACAGGATTTCATCTTGACTTAGATCCCTTGGGGAAAGGAGGTAAGTCCCTTTTTGCATTACTCGTCCTTTTCCACTACGAACTGGGGTGATTTATGGGTCCAGAGCAGGGTGATGAAGAGATAATGATGTTAGTCAGTAACGCACACACCTGACTTGTTGCTTTTGGGGGGGGGGGGGGCACTGTTTCCTGGAAATGTGCTATATGCACACAGATGCATTCTGGGATATTCATTCCAATTCCCCAGGAGCACAACAACAGATTTATTTACTAGCTGGAATTCTCTATTTCTTAACACTACTTCTTGCTTCCTGTCCTATCTGCAGGAGTTTGGATAGTGGGATCAGGGTAACATACTGCTTTGTTTACACAATAAAACTGGAGCAAATGCAGGTCTCAGACTAGCCTATTGAACAGGCACAGTGCTCAGCAGTTTCTCTGTTCTCTCAATGCAGGAATGGGTCAAGGGGATTATGAGAAATAGAAAAGGACATTCCATTCCCATAGAAGCTGGGCGACTGTCTAAAAGGGCATTTTCCTAGAGTGGGAGAGAGGGAACCTGAGTTGTGGGAGGGTTTGAAAGCATACATAAAATACATATCCTTGAGAAAGAACTTACTGAGACAAAGACATACATTCGTTGTTCCAAATGTGTTCTGGGGGCAGAGCGAGAAGAGCGTGCACACACCAGTCAACATTGTATCTTGTGCTAGAGAGAAACAGCAGCAGCCAGGCACAACTCACTCCCTCTTTACCGGCATGTATGCTGGGATGTAAGCCATAGTTCTCAGGCCTACTCTTAGCCCTCCTTGGCAGTCTGCAGAGTGAACCACTTTGGGAACCAAGGAGGCAGTGATTGAGAGTTGGGCTGAGAGCAGAGATAGGTCCAGGAGATGATCTCTCTTACTAAGTAGTCTACAGAATAACTAGTAAACTATATACTGAATCGCTTTTTCCCCTTCCCAAACCATTTCCTGTATCATGCCCTTTTAGAGAAATCACATATCTGGATAATTTCTTCAAGGGCATATGGCCCAAGAGGTGAACAGGAGAAGCAGCCTCCTGCTACCCTTGCTTTCTAATAGATAGAAGAGTAGAAACTGAAGCGTTCATCAAGACTCCTAAACAACTCGCCATCTCATTCCTGGTCCGTCCCTACTGCTCCGTCTGCCCCACAAAGACCTCACAGTTGTAGAGAGTTACATTCTCTGTTACTTGTGTGTTTTTCATTTCTCCTGCTTAAAAGCTATCTGATGGCAGAACCCTTAGCTTGAATGTGTCCAGGGCACTGAAGGGGTGAGGTAGGGTCTAGCCTTTCATATTTGTAAAACAAGGGGAAACCAAAGCCCTTAACTCTGTCTCCCGCATCAGTGTTAATTCTATTAAAATTGTTTCCTAGCCCCCCCCCTTACTCTTATTCCTTCTGAGTAGAGGGTTTCTGAGGGCATAATTACATTGCCTGGACTTGTAATGTTATAACATGAAATGAGCATATAATGAGCTGGTATGGCACACTGTGTTTTAGTGTTTCGTTTGTTCTGGAGTGGATTTGAGACATTCTGAGCTCTTCCACAATTGCAGTTCTTTGTCAGAGCTTCCTGAACATGAGGCACTTGGCCACTACGTTTTTGTTTCTACTTTATACCAGGGTTATAACATAGCAACATAGTGTGTGTCTACGCCAGAGGATTTTTAACTCCAATTGGTTGGTTATATCAGTTAGCTTAAGTTAGCTAACAGTCTGGACGCTCCCCAAACCTTTGTTCCAGGTTTGACACAAACATTTGTGGTGTCCAGGCTGACATGCACAAATGTGGTTGCTAACTTGAGTTAATTGGTAATGCTGATGAAGACAAAACCAGAGCGCAATCTGCTATGGGCTGCCTCCTTTACACCAGTTGGAAGGTATTTACGCAGCCATGAGTGGGATGAAGGATTGGAGAGCAGCTATCAAAATGCTACCTGGAACAAGTCCTCTGTCCAGTGTTGAGGTCTTTCCCTGAAAAGCTCATCTTCATTTAACTGTGGTTGAGTCAAGGAAGTATTTTTGGAAGCAGCAAAAATATCCAGTGATGCATATTTCACTTATAGTCAGATCCAGCAAACAATAACAGGATTTTGCTTCATTTCAACAGACTTTTCTGGCAAAAATCCCAGTGGAGGCAACCATAAAGGGGGGGCAGATGACAAGCCAAACAGAATTGCTAGAGAAAGGCAAAACTGCTAGAGAAAGAAAGGAGAGACAATTCCCCTTCCCAGGTGTGCACTATGGGTATGTCAACACGGCATTTTGGAGCAAGCCTGCCAGCCCAGGTTGACAGTCTTAGGGGGGTTGCACTAGTGCTCTAAAAATAGCTGTTTAGACAGGGCTTTGAACTTGTGGCTTGGGCTGGAGGCAGGGCTTGGAAGCCCATCCCCTTCTTTAGTCTTCAGAGCCTGAGCTCCAGCCCCAGCTGCAACTTCACAGTGCTGTCTACACAGCTTTTTTTTAGAGTGTTAGTGCGAGCCCTGCTAGCCCAGGTCTGTTATCAGTGGAGAAAGGGCCAGCATCCTGCCCTAGCACAGCACCTTATCAGACTGGTGTACTTCTGCTGTAGAGGAAAGAACACACAGTGATCCATCTGAACTACAGAGTCATGGCAGCACTACCATTATTAATAAAGCCCCTCATGTCTAAGTCATTGCTTAGTAAAGCCTTTTGGGATTCCACGAGTATAAAAGGCACGATAGAAAAGCAAATCCCATTCTGGTAGTCAAAGCGATCAGTTCCTATTTCAAGGCAGACACAATAATAAATAGTGGGCCTAGAAAGTCCATCTGTATCCAGAATTTTGAAGTAAATACATAAAAAGATTTTTATAAAAATGCCAGTACAGATCTGTTGGCGTTTACCAGCACTTTTTCCTGTTTCCCCAGTCTGTGCTGGGTTGGGAGCCAGAATGCAGCTTCTTTTCTTACAAATGCTCATCTCACTTGCTTTTCTTTTCTGAGTGGATGCTACTGTACCCAGCACACTTAGTCAGTTTAACAGGGCAGTGGAAAACCTATCCAGAGTGGTCTGGAGGAGGACTGTGAGGCAAAGTGAGGAAAATAAATAAGCAAGTCCCCAGCTTGACCTCCCACGAACCCCAGTGAGTAAACAGGCTCAGAAGAAAACCACTGGCATCCATTTTAAAATTAAATATAACCCTTGTGCGTTCTCTCTCTTTACACACACACACACTTACTTTCTGGAGTCCTTACTTAGGTAAGGAAGTCAATGGGAGTTTTACCTGCAGGATTTGATTCTTTATGTAACACACAACATATAATAAATAATAATAACTAGCTCCTAAATAGCAGTTTTCATCAGTAGGTCTCAAAGGGATTTACAAAGAAGGTGAATACTATTATCCCTGTGTTTTACAGATGGAGAAACTGAGCCACAAAGAGGGAGGAAGTGACTTGCCCCAGGTCACCCAGCAGGCCAGTGGCAGAGCTGGAAATAGAACCTAGGTCCAGTGTTCTATTCAGAAATTTTGGCATGTGAGTCAGAAACAAGTCCACCCTTTTCTCTTTCTACACTCACCAGGGCCAGATGTGTTAGAATTGAGGAAGGGAGGAAGTGGGCTAAGGAGTGAGCCACAGAATGCCCATGCAATTTTCTGGGAAAACTGCAAAGAGTCAGATGCTGTTATAGAATATGGTTGGTTCATGGTTTTATTTGTGAGCTTAATTTCTTGCGGTATGAAAGGTACAATTGGATTATTTTCGTTCTGAGGAACCTTGGGATGTGTGCTCCCTCTCTCTCTCTGCAGGGTAATCTCAACTTTCTCTTCAAACAGCAGTTGATAGGGGTTGGAAGCTTAACCAAGACAGGAAAATATTTCATTTTTCTTTCCTGACATGTCTCTAAGCCCTTCTCCAGTCCTGTTGGGAGAGGATTTCCACTGCAAATTTAAAGCTGCTGAGAGTGGGACTTGTAATGTTCTTTTGTCAGCTTTTTCCATAGGCTTTTAAGAAATCTGCAGTCTTTGTAAGGGCAAGGGAGGAGCTGGTCTGGCTCATGTACTGTAGTAGGGGAGAGCAGTGGACAGTTTCTCCTGGTAGTACTGCTAGCATGACCACTGAAGAAAAGAGCAGCTATCAGAGAGGAGTGGGTGGGTAATAAACACTCTGATGGTGCCTGTCGTCTTTGGCCTGGCATGGGGTGCACCTGGAAGGAGAAGATGTCAGTAGCAAGTGAGTGAGTGAGTGAGGAGCCTGGGCAAGGCCATAGCTAACAAGGGGGAGTGGGCCAGAATTTTTCTGTTCTTTTACCGTTATAGAGTTTAAGGCCTGAATGGACCATCAGATCCTCTAGTCTGACCTCCTGTATAGCACAGGCCACCAGCCCCACTCAGCAGCCACACACTAATGCAGCAACTGAGATTAGACCAAAGTATTACTGCCACCAGGAGAATAGACAGTTATGTCCCATACGCAGAGAATAGGGTGGACCAAGGTGCATCAGTGCCTGAGGCTCTCACAATGGCAGGGAAACAATTAATCAAGATCTACTCAGATAATCCTGGCAAGTAACCTGCTGCAGAGGCCGGTGAAAAGACCCCAAGGTCTCTGCCATTCTGACCTTGGGGGAAATTTCTTTTTGAACCCCACATAAGGTGATCAAGTTAGATCCTGAGCATCTGACCAAGAACCAGCCAGCCAAGCACCTGAGAGAGACAGAATGCTCAGTACCACCTCAAAGCATTGGCCCACCCCACCCAGTGTACCATCTCCTGCCGTGGCCATCTCTGATGTTTCAGAGGAATTCATTACAGAACTCCCAAGCAAAGAATTTCCACTTGGAAGGCTCTCTCCACAAGGAGAAGGGTTAGAAACTTATTGAAAAACAACAAAGAAAGCTTAAGTCTGCATCAGTCAACTGATAGCCCTTTACATTCTGTTGGAGCCTGACACCTCATGCTGGACAGTCCTTATTTTGCCAATGAATAGCTTACAAATATGTCTTTCCCTGTGTCAGATTTGGTCGTGCACACTAGACCTTGCCCAAAGCTTCTGAGTAAACTTCATCTGAAGTTTCTAGAAGAAGCTATTTCTGAGATAAGATGTGGCCAAAAAAATAAAAATAAATAAATAAAAGTTAGACATTTTTAAAAACAGGATTAAAAATTGATTGTCTGAGTTATGGATCTCAAAAACTAATTGCTCAAATCATCTCAAGTTTCGACAGAAATTGTCTGCTGGCCACAGACCATGTACCAAGATATAGGATGTAAAAACCACTACCATGGAGTTTTAAAGCAACTAATTACTATACATTGATAGAAGAAAAAGAATAGAATGGATATTGGACTGGACTGGGCCTCAGGAGATCAGGATTCAATCCCCAGCTCTGCCCCAGACTTCCTGCCTGACTTTGGGTAAATCCCAATCTCTCTGGGCCTCAGCAACCACCTGTGAAACAAAAGCCAGAACACACCCCTTCTCTCACTTGCATTTTTCTTTTAACAATGGCTGCTGCAGTGTCCAGGGCTGTGGAAAACCTATTCAAAGTAGTCTTCCTGTCTTGTCTATCCTTACACAATGTGTAAGGTCTGTGGGGCATGGACTGTCTTTTGCTGTGTGTACATATGGGTTCTAGCACAGCGGGGCTCTGATTTCAACAGGGGCCTCTAGCTGTTACCATAATACAAATAATAATATTTGATATATTTACCCTAGCAAAATAATGGAACAAATATTAAAAAAGAGAGAGAAACAGCTGTTAGCCTGTAGTGGATGATGGGAAAATGAGCAAATGAGAAGAACAGGGCAAGCAATATCAAGGAATTAGTAGCTTTTTAAAAAAATCTAATTACAAAATGTATGAATAAATAAACTGCAACATGAGTGACTTGTAGAGTCTGTCTTCATGGTTTGCTTCTGTCCTCCAGAGTACTGCAGAGAACAAAGAGGAAGCAATGGTCCATTCTTCTCTTTTGTGGCCTTGCATGGACTACTTTTATTTGAAAACAAAACCAAAAACAATGAAAGAAACAAAAAACCTGAACTGCCCCAGATGACAGAACCTAGAACTCAGGAGAATTGTTAAGCTTTAAGAAAATTAGCAGCTTAGACAGAGGAAGGCAGACTGGTGTGGGGAAGATAGGGAGGGAAGAAGGAGTTTTAAAGGTTCAGTTTCTTTTTCTGAGCTTGCTAATAACAATTCAGAAGTGACAAAAGTCTGCCCATATCAGACATCTGCTGTGCTCTCAACACTGGGTGCACATATGCTGTCACTCTTATATCTCTACTAAGAAGACTGCTTTTGATCATCCTTTATGCAAGGCCACTGCCATGTGGCAGCATCCAGACAACTTGTACATTCCCATTCAAACCCATCTGTAGTAGTTCCAGGGGTGGGGCTCGTCCCTTCCTGGGGCGCCTGGGAGCCAGGCCACCCCGCTACACCAGCCCATCCACATATATATCCACCTACGTACTCCTTCCCTATATTCCTCTCCTACACATACACATTACCATCCAGCCCTCTAGATGGCTGGCAGCTAGGGAGATCCAAGTTTAACTCATGCCAAAACTGGGTCAAAACAGAGGAGTCATTGAGAGTCTGAGGACTTACTCAGACTGGATCCTCTGACTCTTTGCTTACTGGAATCAATGCTGTAAATGATGTGTGGAAGTTGTGTGTGTGTGTGGTGTGGGGGTGTGTGTCTTGTTTGCTTGCACTGGCCTATACAGAGATACGCCAGAATTCTTTTTGCTCAGAGGAGAGATGATATAAATCCATCCAGTTTCTCTCCCTGCAGCAAGAGATTGCATCAGAACCAAGTAGAGGAGAGAGTAAAAATGCTCTTAACCTAAAGTTACAGAGTCCTGGGAGTTTTCCAGGGATGCCACCTTGAAAATCCCTGAAAGTCAGCCCCCTATATCCATCTGAGGAGTCATAGGTAGGGTGGGGCAGCAGTTATTTGTACACTCACTAGCTCCAACTTTTCTGCTCTGACTGAGGCTTTCCAGGGTAACACTGGCTACTTAATTTGGATGGGAGTTGGTCCTATTTCAGGAAGCTTTAAAAATGTACAGTGAGACAACTCTTTTACTCACATATATACTCTTTGATTTTAATTTTTAAATAAAATTCTGCTTGGCCATCATCTTAAACAAAACAAAATGGTTGTGTCAGTCAAACGTGGCCCAAGGCTTTCACCCTGTGACCAAGCGACACTCGTCCCATGTTCGTGCTGCTTCATGTTATGCATTTCCTAATTGGACCCCTTTTTGCATGGCTGCTCCCAGCTTAACTGGCAAGAGGATGGCTACAGAGTAGATTGTCTAACAGTGAGAATGGCCTAGTGACAGGACCGGCGCAACCCATTAGGCGACCTAGGCGGTCGCCTAGGGCACTACAATTTGGGGGGCGGCGACCGCGGCGGTATTTCAATGGCGGGACCTTCCGCTGCCTCTGTGGGGTGCGGCATTTCGGGGCGGGACCTTCCGCCATGTAGGGCGGCAGAAAAGCTGGCGGTGCTCCTGCCTAGTGAATATAAATTCACACACACTACTCTCTCTATCTAGTGTTCCTATTTTGGGGGCATGTCACCACATTTACATGCTTAGAATCCCTAAGTCAAGCTGATATTTCTGAGGATGTGTTTTGAAAACAAGCTGTACAATCCACCCAGACTTTATTTTATTTTTACATTAGTAACATAACTTGAGAAAGTCCAGAGGCAGCATGAAAGTTTCACTTAAAGAAAGGGAGCGGGAAAAATTTGTCATGTGTTTCCGAAGCAGGCGTACGAGTTTGAACAACCACTAAAGTGGTTAATACAATGTAGTCTGAAGAGGCAGTCAGGTTAGAAGCAACTTGTAGGCTACAAGGTTTTCTTCAGACTGTGAACAAAATTAGCACCAGAAACCACAACTAAGACTACACTTCTTATCACACTGCTGTTTTCACAGTGTTTTTTCCTCATTAGCTCTTGTTATTTTTTAAATCTGATAAAGTAAAAAGATGAAATATATATTATAAGCAACTGAAAACAGAGTATTATAGTGGAAGGAGTTGGTCAGCCTTAACTATTGCAGTGCTACCTGCAGCACTTATAATGTACAGCCAGGAATTAGAAACAAAGCAACTCCCACTTGGCAGGAATATCCTAGTCTATGTATTCTGTTCCATACAATTCTTTGAAGTGGGAATAAGTAGCACAGTGCATTAGTGTGTAAGACTTTCCTGTTGGTGTGCAAGATTTAAATCCTATTTAGGCTTACAAATTAAATGTTTGATTTCAGCGAATGTTTGCTCACATCACAAAACTACCATCCAGTTTAGCACTATACATCAGTCTGGTGGTCTGTTTGGTGGAGGCCCAGGCATGGAATAGCAGGAATACTGCAAAAAAGATTGAACTACGTGGGAGTTATTGCATTCTGCCTGGCTCTGGCTGTCACTAAGTCCTGCAGTAGCCCCCTCAAAAACTACATGCTGAAGGCAAGACCTTTGGGCTGGGGCAGCAGTTCCCTTTGTGATTGGGTAT